TGGTTGTCAAATTTCGAGGATAAGAGTACAACAATAAATGTTTATTGTTGATAATTTAAGTGTGACGGTCGGGCGATAAATAGAATCGTTTTGTTTGTGTTCTCGTGTAATTCTAATGTCTCTAGTTTTAGTACCTTTTCTTATGGGTGGATAAAATAATTTGAACGAACCTACAGAAAGAATGATGATTTTGATTCTTAGAACAGAGAATCAGACTCAATTCTTTTTGTATATTTTTTTACAAGTCGATGAATCACTCTAAAATATTCAGCGCTGAAAAATACAAATGTGAAATGAACAAAAAGGTAATTTACCATCACATTTTAGCTTATCACCTATCATACAAAACAGTCAAGCTTTAGATCTAAATTCTAACTCATTTATTTCCTTTTCAATTTTAGACACACTCGCAATCCTACACAATAGCCGTTGTTTACCATCATACTCCTTAACCACCACCGCCGCATGGATTTTTGAAATTCAAGCCTCTAATTGAAGCCTCAACTTTCGGTTCTCTCTCAATGTTTTTTCTTCTTGAGCAGTCGCCAATTAGTTGAGAGAAAATATGAATATGTATTTTTGAAATTACTTCTGGACTTTTGGCTATGTTCATAACGGAGTATTCAATGTTTAAATCATATTTTTTATATTGGATCAAATTTATACATTATAAAGAACCAAATTGGAATCGAATGGTTCGGTTCTAATTTGCTTTCGTACCTTAAAAAAAATCATTGATTTATAGTTTGATTCAATTCTTTGATTGAACTATATTCACCTTTACATTTGAGAAAATTACCTAGAAACCTATTTTTCAAGATTACATTTCAAAAGTAAGTGGGTGAAAGATTAAATTTCAATAATCAGGTCATAAATACTAATTTCTAAATTAATTAAAACAAATTAATTACACCCACTCAACCTATTACCCCCGAACTAAAACTAATTTCTCTCTCTTCCCTAAAAATCAGATGTTCACTCTCTTACCCAAAAATTAGGTCGACTTCTTCCCCCACATCTAGATTCCGGCCACCCCACCCTCTAGATTCCGGCCACCTGCTGCTTCTCTCGCCGGAGTTTCAATAAATCGATCGCCTATTGCATCAGTTGCTACAGCCGTCCGTTGGTAGCAGCACTTGTGCGTCTCTGCAAGCTCACTGCGGCGAAGTTGAGGTGCTGTAGTGCCGCCAACAAGACGCCTCCACCATCGTGTCAGTAGTTTTGTGGTACGATTGGAGGCGGTGGGTGATGGGTTGTGGTGGTGATCTATTCGTTGTGATGAGTTGGAGGCAGATTTCCAGCTACCGGACGATCTGTTCGTCTTGTGTTTTCTGAAATTGTTAGCTGTGGTTCTGCTATAGTGTGATGCTACTGCTCGCGATGCCGTTGTAGGCAAAAAATGATTCTATTCCAGCCAAGACAGCGATGCCCACTCTGACTGGGTTTCCTGTGTCCGATTTTCTCCCAATACGCTTCAACTGACTATAATTTCTGGGTCGTGGGATAGGACTCTGAAAATCTGGAATTTGAGTAATTG